TAAGCTCCCAGCCTGCCAACATCCAGACGATATAGGCAAAAAAATTGGAGATTTTTAATCAATTTGTTACACAACATAAATAGGGCAACAAAATTGCGCAGAAATGTCCAATAAAATGAGAGAAGGCTTGGACTATATGGTTTGAGTGGTGTACAACTGCCATCTGTCTGTCTGTCTGTCTGTCTGTCTGTCTGTCTGTGGGCGTGCCGGACTCTCGTAAGCCCCGCTCCAGCCGCGCGTGGGCTGGGCGCCGGCCCCGGCGCCAGCAATTTGTGTCCGAAATCGAACACCGCGGCGCGCGACGCGACTGGAGCAGGTCCGACCACTCCACGGCCCGATATGTCAACCCGGCAAAGTGAATAAGTGGAGCTGACGAGCCGAGCAGGGCGGGGCGGGCGTGCAGGGGATGAGCCGGAGCCGAGCCGGCGCAAGGTCAGGGTAGGCACGTGCGAGTGTGAGTGTGTGTGTTAGGGAACAACACACAAGAGCAGCGTGCTCAGCGAAACCGCAGGAATCTATGAAGCTCAGTGAGATCCAGACCGTCGCGGCGACTCCCCGCGGAGCGGCGCGCGCTTCTAGTAGGTCCGTCGCGCTCCAGCCAGATGTGTGCGACTCATATCGGCGTGACCCTCCACCAGTACCAGTAGCCAGTCGTCGACCCCGCTGTGACCTCCACCACCACCTTCCTCCGACCCTGCTCCAGTCGTTGACCCCCCCCCCCCCCGGGGGACAACACCATATCTTCGCCTTATTGGAGATTTGTTGTCGGGGGACATTTACTGCCGAAATTTACGCGAGCGTCTCGTGTGTCCGCGACCGTTGTTCGCGTGTCGTTGTTCGTGGTCCTGGTGGTCGCCCCTCCCCGAGAGCATGGAGGTCGCCGTCGCTCCGCCCGCCAGGCCGCCGCGCACCCGCTCAGTACGCCGTCGTGCCCTACCCTGCTTCGAGTACATCGTCTACTACTCCGACCCGTGAGTAGAGACAGGGTTGGAAGCCCTGGAAAGTTGACGGAAAATTTCTGGAAAAACACAAATTTTCCGGGAAAAAATAATATAAATTTCCCAGACTTTGGAAGTTTTCCGTTATTTTCTGGGAGTTTTCGGGAATTTTCCGGAAGTTTTCCGGAGAATTTTGGAGATTTTCAACCCTGCGGACAGTTAGTAGTATGGGAGGACTTACTGCGACGTTACACCTAACGCAGACTAATAATTCACGACGAATAACGCAATTATTGGTGACGACAGTATAGAGATCTCTGTGCGTGTGGGTGCAAGCTTGGCCACACAATAAACAATCAAAAGCAGTCCAAATACGGGATGATGTAGATGTCGTTGGCTCTTATGCCCTTCGCGCCTGGGACGGTGCCAACGTGAGATCAAAAGAGTCCGTACTGTTTAAAAGTAGTAATGCGGCCAACTGTATATCTGTTTTTATTTGTTTTTACGGTCGTCTTGTACAGTTCAGTTGTTGGACCACGTACCAGATTTGGTGCGGCGTTTGTACAGCGGTGGACACCGTCGTTCTTTCTATGAACGCGCGGGAGTTGCCGGAAAATAATTAGTCGATACCGTCATATTTTTTGTTTAGCAGTGCTTGTAGCTATTGCGGCTATTTAGCACGGAACTGAAATTGGTTTCTATACTGTAATCCTTTTGGTAGAGCACGTCCCTGTGCACGTTGTGTGTTTGTGTGTGTGTGTGTGATGTGTGAGTATGTCGGCCCGGGTTACTTCCTATTGCTTCTCGCAGTGCGAGCGCTTCCCACATGAGGGGAAGAGAGAGCGAGAGCAAAAGAGAGAGAGAGAGAGAGAGAGAGATGGAGACAGAGGAAGGTACTGGGCATGTCCATATGAGGACTTGCCGACGCGTCTGCAGCGGCCGCCTCAGGGTCGCCCCCACCCCTCTTGCAGCGTGTGCACGGGGCCCGGGCCCGGGGCCCTGCGTCGTGCCTCGTCCATCCGCACCACGCCCGACCTCGTCCTTTGCCTGCACTCGTTCTGGTGCACTCTTAGACTCTTAGACTGGTTGCACTTCTTAGACTCGTTCTGGTTGCACTCTAAGACTCGTTCTGGTGCAACAACATACTCTTCACCGTCTTGTTGGTGCATACTTTATTTTGCACTCTTTACCATCCCGGTGCGTTCTGAATCGTCCTGCACTTTATTTCTCATCATCCTGGAGCATTCATACGCGTGCCTTCTTTACCGTCCTGGTGCACTTTTCTCATCATATCCCAGTACACTCGGTTGCATTCTTCGTCGTCCTGGGAGGAGGAGGGTACTTCACTACAAATTCAAGCGTACACAGTCTTTTTGCCAGTTCTTTTGTTTTTTCTGTGTTTTCCAAACTTTTTGTAATTTTTAAAATTGATTTTTTCTTGAGTTTTCCTAATGTTTTGAAAAAGCGAAGTGACCCTCGGTCCTGATCGGTCCTGGTTAGAGTTGGAAGCCCTGGAAAGTTTCCGGAAAATTTCAGGAATTTTTTTTTTTTTAATTTCCGAGATTCTTGAAGACTTTTCCGGAAATTCTCGGGAAGTTTATGGAAATTTTCTGGAAAATTTTGTAAATTTCCGCCCTAGCTCTGGCGCACTCTACTCACCATCCTGGTGCTTTCTTTTCTTTACATCGTCCTGGTGCACTCTTCCAGTTGGCAGCCTCTCTAATTGTCGCCCTCTCTCTGTTGCAGACGCCAAACGGCGGGGGACGCTGACGTCGGCGATGGCGGTGAGTGTAGTCGTGTAATCGCCGTGCTCCTTCCGTGTAGTGCGGGGCGGTGGTGCAGTCGGTTGCACGGCCGAACTGCACGCGACAGGCTGGAGCGCTCAAAGTGTTCACCCGAGTCGAGATAATCAATACGCGGTATACAAGGCCCAAATAGTTCCGGATGGGGGTGATTCGCGAGAATCCTTTTTTCTTTCTCGGCAATACTGCGAACCAGACTCGGGCGTGCGGGGGTGGTCTGCTTCACAAAGTACATGCGTCTTTTGTGGTCTGCTTGCCTCCCGTATCGTCGATCCTTCGTGGAAATGTGCGGCAACATAACCTCGCCTGCCGACAGGCGAAAATCCGCACTCTGGCATATTCTATGTTGTGAAGTCTTAGTCCGAAGTGTCTTTGCAAATTAAAAATGTACTCAGTTACACCTCAGTAAGCCCGTGTGTGTTGGCACCAATAAGTGTTCATCCAGACAGGACGTCCGTCATCAGCCGTAACACAAAACTGCCAATAAGTCCAGCCGATGCCAGCTCTCATAGCACCTGGCGGGTAGGCAACATCTCGCCCGCAATGCCTGCGTGCTGAGCGGGATGGCCTACCCCGAGCCTCGCAGGCGCCGAGCTCTCCTAATCGGCTGATAATCGAATCTACAGAAGTACTTCCTGGGCCATACCTTAGACGCGAATAAAAAATTAAAAAAAAAACAAAAGATAAAATTCCTTAAGAATGATCCTTGTATCTTTTAGGAATGTAAACTACAGACACATTGGGGGCACATTACTTTCTAGTGCTTCTAGTGCAGTCTTGGGGGCTAAAAGAAGAGCTTTTCACGCCCGCTCGGACTTGGTTTCTTTCCCTCCACTGCGCTCGGCTTGCGTCCGGCATGAATCCTTTGTAGGGTTGAAAGCACTGGAAAATTTAGGGGGGGGGGGATGTATAACTTCTCAGACTTTTAAAGTTTTCGGTTACATTTTCCGGAAATTTTAGGAAATTTTCAACCCTTATCCATCAATCCGTTTCGTGTGTCCCACAGGGTGCAGCGCGCCGCCACCACCGCCGCCACCCCCCGCCCCCGGGGGCGGCATCCCCAGCCTACGGATCAACTCGGAGGTAAGTGTGCAAACTGTTAAGCCGTCTTTAGGACGGAAGGCGATACAAAGTACTGCGGGGTAGCTTGATAAAAGCTATTGTGAAGGGCTTGCTCGCAGCTTATGATCCCGCAACGGAGTGGCAAATCTCTCAAGCGGACTTGTGCAAACAACATAGGCATGCGAACGTTAATGTTCAACGCCATATTCAGGTTGTTGGATCAGAAATGTGGATTGGTGGTGGTGTGAAGTGGTGCAAAAAATACACCACTGCCTGTTGATAGGGTTGGAAGCCCTGGAAAGTTTCCGGAAATTTTCAGGAAAATTTCGGAAAAAGACGGAAAATTTCCGGGAAAAAATTGAAAAATTCCCCAGATTTTGGAAAGTTTTCCGTTATTTTTCGTATATTGTCGGAAATTTTTTGGAAATTTTTAACCCTATCTGTTGCCGATCCTGATCCTGATCTCTCTCTCGCAGATCGAGTCACGCTCGCGGAGCCCCAGGCCGAGCGCGCCGGGGGAGCCTCCGGCCGCCATCCAGAACGCCATGATGACCAAGGACAAGAAGCCCTTCACGTACACGCCGGGCGGGCTCGACCTGTCGCAGATCCGGTCCCCGCGCATCCAGCGACGCATCAACCGCAACATGGCGGACGAGGGCGTGGCGGCGCACCCGCAGCAGCAGGCGGCGCCGCCCCCGCCCTCCCCGCAGCAGACCTTCCTGCCCCCGGGACAGGTGCCGCCGCCGCCGCCCCCGCAGCCCGCCGGCCAGGCCAGGGTGCGTCCACGCGACAAACAGGCGGAACCAATAGTTCCAATACTACGTGACTCTTAGGGAGGGGAGGGGGGTACGAATATTATGGGTTCCCAAAGAGATCTCATAATGCGGAAGACCGAAAATATGCTCACTTATTTCGGTATCTGCCTTCAGTTTGCCGCGCCGCCACCCCCGCCGCCGACCTTCGCGCCGCCGCTTGGCGGGGCGCAGGCCTCCGTGTCGGCGCAGGCGGTGCTGCAGGGCGCCGCCAACCTGCGGCCCACCTCGGTGGCGCCCCTGAGGAGAGAGCCGCCACAGCAGCAGCAGCCCGAGCCGGGCTCGCTCTACATCGCGCCGCTGGCGGGGCCCGCCCCGGCCCACGCGCCCGCCGTGGCGCGCGCCCAGCTCGGCTCCCTCTACATCCCCCCCGTGGCGGTAGACGCCGTGGACGCCGGGCCCGCGTCGCCCTCGCCGCCGCCGCCGCCGCAGCGGCACTTCAGCCCGGCGTCGCCCCAGGCCGGGCTCCACAAGGCGCCCACCCCTTGGATGAGCAGCCAGAGGCAGGCGCCCGCCAGCCCCGCCGCCAGCCCCGCCGCGCAGCCAGGGTCGCGCATCATCCCCATACAGGTAGGCGCTCACCACAGGGGCTGCGTTTGCCGGAAAATTCCCGAAAAATTCCGGTTAATTTCTGGTAAATCCCCTAACGTTACCGGAAAACAACAGAAAATTTCCAAAGTCTGGGAAATTTTCCATTTCCGGAAACGAGCAACTTTCTCATAGTTGCGACCGATATCGCCGTAAAATATGGCCATTATACTTGTGATTCATTTCTCACAGAAAACCAACCGAATAAAACGACCGCTCTCTGTTTTAGATCGAGGGTAGAGAGTCCGCCCCGCAGACGCCGCACTCTCCCCAGGAAGCCCAGTTGTCGCAGTGGCAGCGCGAGCAGCAGCTGCGGCAGCAGCAGCGCCAGCTGCAGTCGCCACCGGTGCAGCAACAGGTGCAGCAGCAGGCGCCCTGGCGCACCGTGCACACGGTCAGTATGGTCAGTATTATGGGGTAGCCCGGGAAAGTTTCCGGATAATTTCCGGGAAATTGATGGAAAAAACGGAACATGTCCCAAACTTTGGAAGTTTTCCGCTATTTTCCGGAATTTTTCCGGAATTTTTCGAAAATTTTCTGGAAAATTTCTAACTTTAGCGAAACTGCGAAGGTATGAACGATGGCGTTATTTCACTGTGCAGCCGACGTCACCGCCGGCCGCTGCTGGCCCCGGGGAGAGGGTCATCCCCATCCAGTTCGAGTCGAGCAACGGCACCGTCAGCCCGCCCGCCACCCGGCAGCCACCCCTGTTCCACCCGCAGCAGCAGCAGCAGCAGTTCCACCCGCAGCAACAGTTCCACCCGCAGCAACAGCAGCAGCAGTTCTCGCCACAACAGCAGCAGCAGTTCTCGCCACAACAGCAGCAGCAGCAGTTCTCGCCACAACAGCAGCAGCAGCAGTTCCAGCCACAACAGCAGCAACAGCAGTTCCAGCCACAACAGCAACAGTTTCAGAGGCGACCTCAACAGTACAACAGGTCAGTTGATGGACATGGCGGAGACTTCTGATTTTTCTACAAACAGAAGAGTGTGTGACATTCGATCACAGGTAAAAGTGAAGTGTGTGACGATAAATGAATCTGACGATACCCTTTTTCTTCCTTGCAGCGGCCCGGCCACCCCCGAGTGGAGCCCGGGTCCCCCCATCCAGTCCAACTCGTTCCGGGTTCTGCAGAAGATTACTGGTACGGACCGGGACGGTAAGCGTGCGATATGGCATGCTACTGTTCGTGCGTTTAATCGTTATTATTGACCCGTGCGTCACGTGGGCTTCCATCTTTTTCTTTTTTTGTTTTACCTCTCCGTAATATTATTTATTGTCTTTTTTATTTTCATCTTTCCCATGATGTGAGTCACATGCTTGTTATCAATCACACACTTCCATCTAATTCCTCTGCAATCTTCGGAGCGACGCGAAGACTCTATCACCACTGTCCTGGCTGTGACTAACTTCATTATACTTCGTCTGTATCAAGAGAGATAGAGAGAGAGAGAGAGAGAGAGAGGAGGGGATTGTCCAGAAAGTTCGTCCGTTTTCCTCAGATTCATTTTCCAAATTACGGGAGCTCGGCGCCTGCGGGACTCTGGGTAGGCTACCCTGCAGTACACGCATGCGCTGCTGGCAAGGTGTTGCCTACCCACCAGGCGCTATGAGAGCTTGCATAGGCATAAGCCGAACTTGGCAAGGGCCCACGCCGGCAAATGAAGGGTGTATACTTTCCGGATAATCTTTTACTTGACACTATTCTACCGCAAACCCTGGTTGAAAATAATAATGTGTCGTGCAGTAATAATTTTTACGACATAGATAAACAACGACTTCTCCAGTCATTGAAGACGGAAAAGTATTTTTCCTCTTATGTTTTTTAGGGTTGGGAAGCCCTGGAAAGTTTCCGGAAAATTTCCGGAAAATTTCTGGGAAAAACGGAAAAATTCCGGGAAAAAATGAAAAATTTACCAGATTTTTGAAAGTTCCCCGTTATTTTCCGTATATTCTCGGAAAGTTTTCGGAAATTTTCTGGACGATTTGTGAAATTTCCAACCCCAATGTTTTTTTGTTTGTTTCTGTTTTTTAGACGACGTTCCCCGGGACCAGCAGCCGGGCAGGATGAACGAGATGAACGCGGCACAGCTGCGGAGGCTGCAGCTCAACGACGAGGACCGCGCGCTCATGGACCGCTTCAAGGCGCAGGGTGAGCAAACATATTCTGTCATTACAATTTACATATTACATTCTTTACGACGACAGCCCATTCTTACACGTTTATGAATCAACCAATCGTATTTTTTTTCTACAATTTCAAGTTGTAGTTTTGCAACACACACATTATGGATTTCTTTCTGTGACCCTCACAAGAATTTGTCATATTGTAAATAAGGTTGGAAATTTCCAACATTTTCCGGAAAATTTCCGAAAACTTTCCGAAAATATACGGAAAATAACGGAAAACTTTCCAAAATCTGGGAAATTTTTCATTTTTTCCCGGAAATTTTCCGCTTTTTCCAGAAATTTTCCTAAAATTTTCCGGGAAACTTTCCAGGGCGTCCAACCCTAAGTGTAAACAAAATATGGCCTGCTAAAGAGCGCGATGTTTCCCCCCCTTAGTGGACGATGAGGTGTACCTCCACCAGGAGGCCGACCCCCGGTACCGCGGGGCGGCCATCCCGTCCAGGGCCTTCAGGATGCTGCAGAACATGACGGGCGAGGACGACGGAAGTACGGAGCATGACATGAGCATGGATTGGAAAGACTGTCGTGATGTGATGTGTGCTGCTTTGAGCAGGATCTAGATTCCGAGTGTAGCAAGTAGCAAGTTCGGTAGAGAGTCGAAGACGAAGACGCTTTGCTTTTCATTGTCCTAGTATAGTGGCGCGGCTAAAGGCGATGAAGGTGTGAGATTGATGGCACTATCGAATCGATAGTATCGATACTCGTCTGTCGAGTGCTTGTTAGTATTGCAGTCTCGTGACAACTTCGTTTACTAGTGTGTGTTGTGTGATGGCTTCCTCTAAAGGCATGCTCGTGTGTAGAATGTAAACTACCAGTGTGCGCCAAAAGTAAGAGCACCCGCAAAAAAAGTTGCACGAAAACATGTGGCAGTGAATGTTTTGAAGTCGTGAATTACGAGTCCTCGCACAAAGTTGTTGTTGTTGTGTCTTCAAAGTTTTCGCCCATGACAATTTTGATCCTTACTTTGGCCCTTTGATCCTGTTTGCAGGCTCCTCTGCACCGCTGCCCAGTCGCATCTCCCCCGCCGTCAGAGCGGCACAACAAGCGGTGCAAGGTAAGCTGTTATCTGTTAGTGAATCACAAACTACTTTAAGTGAACGATATGCTGCTGTATGATTTTTGACAAAACATAAACAAATTGCAAAGAAGAAAAAAACAATTAGAGCCTCCGATTTTTCAAAAGCAATTCGTAAAATAACGATGTTTTATACTGTGTTAAAAAGGGCGGTTCCTTAATCGTATAATAGGCCCTATGAAAAGTTAATCAAAAAAATTCCGAAGAATCACGTGATTCGTACGATAATTTCTGTGTAACAGTATGGGTTTTCCAATTTCCCAACCCCTCATCATGGCGCTGGGCTCGCCCGAGGGGTTCTTCACTCAAAAAAATCAGTGTACACCCTTCGAAAAAATCACGAAAAAATCATTAAAAATCTTTTTAAAAAATCACTAAAAATAATAAAAAATTAACGAAGAGTCAGAAGAAAATCACAAAAAATCACAAACAAAATCAGGGGAAAATCACATACACTCTAAATGTCAAGGGACAATTTTGTCCGTAGATTTGCAACGATTTCGTGCACATCCAGAAAGGATGCAATTTTGTTCCCTTAATTGGACAAATTGTGTGAAGTTTCACACAATTTGTCTAGTTTTAGGAACAAAATTGCATCCTTTCTGGATGTGCACGAAATCGTTGCAAATCTACGGACAAAATTGTCCCTTTACATTTAGAGTGTACAGTCAAGAAAAACAGAAAAATCGGGGTACGCTATACAATTTGTAGTGAAGGACCCCGCTCGGGCTCGCCGCATTACTAAACGTTATGGACCGTTTCCTCTCTGTTTGCCCCGCAGACAGCTCCGCCAGCCAGGCTTACGTCCCCCCGTCCGAGCAGACCGCCCCCGAGCCCCGCAAGTACCTGGGCGCCGCCATCCCCTCCCGGTCCTTCCGCATGCTGCAGGCCATGACCGGCTCCGAGAACTGCGGTGAGTGTGCGGCCGTATGCGGAGCGAGGCGAGGCGAGAGTCAGCCTCACCTTTTTTTTAATATACATTTTTTTTTTTACAATTTATTTTGCACTTTCATCCTTGTTGCTGGGCTTTCACACGCATCTCATTTTTTTCCTAACGCCTCCATGCTCACGTTGTAAAAGGCCTTTTTTCTTCTCCCCCCGTTGGTCAGACTGATCTCGTCAGCGGCAGTAATTGGAACCGGAATAACATATTTATTCTTTTTGTTTCGATTCGATAGTTCTCGAGACATTCTCTCCGCTTCATCAGTCGTTTCCGTTTGTCCCGCCTATTCGTGCCTTTTGTACTGCTTTCATAAAAGTACCGCGGTTTGCTTTGTATTATTCGGCAGTTGATAATCAAACTTTCCCACCCACTCATTTTTTTTCTCTTTGCTGTTGGTAGTGACAATACACAAGTTGAGAAACAATTCTTAGATTTGTAAAATAAAAATAATAATTTATAACGACTACAAACGCAAAATCTAGCTAGAGACGCGCGCCTCGCTGTTCGAAACATTATCCAAGTATTTCATTCTCGATTTGTTTTCTGGCGCGAAATTACTCTGCCACTTATGGGCCGCCAGAACAAAACCCTGTTCATGATCCCCTCCATCTGCACCATGGCCATCCCCTCATGTCATCTAAAAGTCATCTGCCATCATATCGTTGCATTTATATCATTACAACGAAATATGAGAAAAAATAAATTTAGACTCTTTGGTACCGATCTACCTGCGTGTGCATCATTGCATATTGCATGTTCTTTGATTTTCTTTTAAAGAAAAAAAAAGTATGTTTTCACTGTCTTGCAAAGTATCATGCTTACCATGGTGCCAAAATTCAAACTGATCAGATCCTACATCTATTTTCTTTTTCTTTTTTTTTTTTTTACTTTCCTCTCTTTCTTTCTTTCTTTCTCCCTCTTTCCCTGGCAACGTTTTTCTTGGTCTGTTTGTAGCCAATCCGCCAGCGAGCGAAAACCCGCAATCAGAGGTGCCTCTTGCAGAT